TATGTATGTATGTATGTATGTATCTGTATATCTGTATTTTAACAACATCTATCAGCGCTGCATACTTTCGGATCGTCCAAAAGTATATGTACTGCGCATGACTGGACTACACAGGCAAAGCTCTTCGGTGTGTTATTTATTTGCATCTACTAGGCCAAAGAATATAGGCAAGGTCTACGTGTTTGCAAAACTGGATAACCCGAAAAAAAAAAATGTATGGCTCGCATGGCTCCCTGGCTCGCATGACTCGCACATTGGCTCGCATGACTCGCTGGCTCGCACTTTGGCACTACTCCAGTATAGTATAGGTCTACTGTATATAATTAACTATGATAATAATAGTAATATTCAGTATTATTTAGTATAGTATCAATGTATCTATGCGCGTTACTTTCCCATCGCTCAAACAAAACCAACAAAGTCGTCAGTAATTCACCGTGTATAATGTTGCAGAGTGATTAGCAAATCAATGTATAAACCTACCAACTTATGGCTTAACCCATGATAAAGACAGAAATTATAACTATACAAATAACATAATATAGGCCTAATTCTAAATTGCATATAATTTAGTTTTCTTATAAATATTTACGAGAATGTTCTATCCAGCAAACCTGTTTTTTTCAGGGAAATCTAATGATAAGTATTACAATAATTGGTGATTAATGAGTACATCGTCAACATAGGGGGCCTAATAGCCTATTTATTATGTACAGTAATAATAAATATAAGAATGTAGACAGCAAGCATTCTTCGTCGCCAAAACACATACCGGGACCGTAAAACCTTGAATTGAAGCCCTGGGGGTTTTTTTTTTTTTGGTTTTTTTTTGCGAAGTTTAGATGGGCTTCTTTTCGAGATGGACTTCTTTTCGAGATGTGCTTCTTTTCGAGGCTACCTTCTCAAAGTAAAGATGGGGGCTTCTTTTCACAATGAGTGTTGTAAATTGTGTGAATTTATACCGGTACTTAAAACAATAAATACGGCCTCTGTTTCATCAGTCTGTATCTTGGAGTGTATTTATCTGACATTAAATCACCTAAACTATTGATAAACCAAGCTTGTTTTTAATTTATTCTGTTTTTTGAAATTCATATACAGTGTATATACTTACACCCCCTCCCAATATTGTATATACATATTGCATAAAGCTTTATTAGCAGACTTAGCAAGG